CTGACCCGCCCTGCCCGGTGTCTCGCCGCCGCCGCCGCCGCCGCCACCGTCGCCGGGCAGTTGTCGCAGTGCGTCGCGACGCGACGTGCGCCGAGGCGCTGACGGAGTTTGAAGACGTGATTTATCGGCGCCGCGCTGTGCTCTGCGCGGCCCCGCCCTCCCGGACGCGTGGCGTCGCGTGGCGGCGCGGTCGCGGCGCCTCGTCACGAGGCTATTCGGATCGACCCCCGACGCGGAGCTCGCGAGCAACAGCGGGGAGCGGGAGGCTGCTTCGCTGATTACGCGTGTTTTCTTTTATTTCTTTTTTTGTACGGGGTTTTGTATACAGGATGTCGCGAAACAAAGTGATATCTAACGATACTGCGAGTAATGAGTCATTGCATGCCGTTCTGAATATCCGTGGTCGCGAAGGTTGAAGAGCCGTAGCTGCCTCGTGCGTGATGAATCCCGCTGTGATTTGAATGTTTGTGTGTGTTCGTATACCGTTACCATTACCCCGTCAGTTACTTACACTGGTCGCTATGTTACTCTAGCAGTTGAAAAGTGACCTTAAATAGTTTTAAAAATAAAATAAATGTTTATTCATTTACACAACTGCAGATTGCGGAATGGAGGATGACTATTTCAACGGTTGACGCTAAAAATGTCGCGAAAGTGTGTCTGGTGCGATAGCTCAGTGGCAGCCCCGTCTGCGAAATCACCACGAGGTCACGGGTTTTAGACACTTGTTTCATACCTAGCCATTAGATTTTTCCTTCAGGAATGATCTAGTAGCTAGAAGAAATTTCTAATGGTTGGGTGCTCTGATCAGTAGTTTTCCGTGGTTTCTTTGATCAATACCTGGCAAATGTCGGAGCTGCTCTGCATCAAACGGGTTAGGAACTACGCCCGATCTCTGCTCCTAATCATTATACTCTTGTCTTCCTTTATGCATTTACACGAACACCCTTACTCTTAATTTCACTGCACTCCCCAACAGTTGTCAGTGGGACCGATCGGAAGCTTGGAGCTTCTCGCGGCTGGAGATGATGCTTTTAGGAGGAAAACACGTGGTGAGATGTAACTGCCGCAAGCCGACCTGCAAGTCTTCGACAGATCGCACGTACGAGCGGGACGAGAAACATCGGCATTTCAATGGAAAACGTAAAGGACATTTCGTAACTCAAAGACGATAGCCGCACTCACAGGAGCACGAGGCCACTGATGCTCGAGCATGTTCGCCGAAGAAGTCCAACAGAGACCAGCTAACCTCCACCGACAAGAGCAGCGAGTATGCCCTAAATTCAAATTATTCAAAGAATTATTCAGAGAATTATTCAGAGAATTATTCAGAGAATTATTCAGAGAATTATTCAGAGAATTATTCAGAGAAGTTACCCTAAATTCAAATTATTTTTGATATTAAAGCACTATCTAGCCTAGGTCACCCCCGAGACCTTTAAAAAAAATTCTCCCTTGACCCGGTTACCAACGGAAGTCGGTATCTTGAGCGCTGGACGGCTGTGTACCAACATAAATTCCCCTTATTATGTTCGCGCAGTTGGGTAAATATATATTATTTTGAAATGAAAAGAGAACTTTAAAACAAAATTTCTTTCGCAGTAATTTTTATTGATTTTTCCGACATTTCCGACAAAAATACCTTGTTTTATAATTATAAATAATATTCTAGGGCTGGAGTTTTGCCTAATGAAGAAAACCAGAAAACACTTTGCATGTATTATTTAAATCTAGAAAATAAGCTTGAACTAACCAACATTTAAAAAAAAGACAACTGAACGTACAGCTTTCATTACTGTTTCTCAAACTACGATAAAAATTAAAATGTCTTAAAAACACCTCACCGCTACTACATACGATAAAGTATTAGAATATTATTAATATTATGCAGTAATGTTAAACTCATTTTTATTTTGGTTTTTTTCTGGTCACCACTGGTTGTGTTTTGAATCTTCAGTTAATGACAATTTAATTTATTGTTGATAATTTTCACTCTAAATTTTCTTCGTAAATACACAGTTCCATACGTACAACATATTATTTTGACGCAGATAGCTATTTGAATCACATACATAGCATCTAATTTAGCTTTCAAAATTTTACGTACGATGGGAAGAAAGGGGATAAAAGAGAAAAATAAAGTGTATTTGACGTAGTTTTTTTTTTTCAGAAGTAAGACAACCCTACTTTTTAGGCGTAAAATTATATTTTTAATCTTTTTAATGAATTATAGTTGGATGATGGTGTTTGAACTAAAAAAGAGAGAAAACAGCCAGAATTTGCCCTCTTACTACCCAATAAATCTCATTTTATCCGCATCTGACACTTTTCATTTGATCACAATCCTGCGAAAAAAATATTTCTTGCACTAGAAGAGTATCGAATGTAGTGAATTATTCTGAATTCCTACTATTAAGATTTTCATACTTGTATCTTCTGTAGAGCAGACCTTATTTCGTCTATAATTGAGAATGAACAATTTTTTCTAACCTGTAAACAAACCTGTAACCTGTAAACTGTAACCTGTAACCTGTAACCTGTAAACAAGGATCGATGGGTTATTTGAGAATTAACAAATAAAGGTATCTATCACACTTGTAACAAATTAGCTTACTTTGTTTAGTGTACATCAAAATGGTAAACAATAAAAGCTAAAAAGAAATCAACTATATACCTTGAAACAAGCCAATGGAGCCCTGCCTTAGGATGTTGGGATTATTTTTGTCCGATTTCTCTTGGATTAAACCCTATTGAAATCCTTCTTTCCATTAATTACGTAAAATCTCATTCCGAGATAACGGCATGGGGCGTTCGGACCAAATCCACCTAGATCTCCAGCCCAAATTGGCCGCGCATTTCCCATTCCGCTCGCGCAGTGGCTCTTCCACGCATGCTGCGCGCGTTGGCAAGTCGTAATTCGGGCCATTCGCCACGCTGAAATACGGCGGCCGCCGGCGGCAGCGCATCCTAGCGGGCGCTTCGGGAAGCGCGACGAAGCGCGGCGTCTCCGGAGAGGAACGTCGCGGCTGCCGAGAGATTAAGCGCCCGCTCCTTCCGAGAGACGACCGCTTGGCGCAAATGCAGCAAAACAAGCGACGCGCGCGATACTGTCGGCTTTCGTGTTTTGCGCGTTTAGGAACCTATTTACTTCGAATTGCCGCGGCGGCGGGCGCTAAGGCGAGGAAGAAATTAATGAGAATTGTGGATCATGACGTGCGGCGTCTAGCAACTGCGCCCAGTGGGAGTACACCCGTTTTGAATGTTATTTTGAACACGCAATACACTGCCTTAAGAATCCTATCACGCTGTTTAATACTAAATATAATCGGGGTTCGTGAATTACACTCTTGGTAAAGAAATGAATGAAATAAACTGTACTACTATCCGAGATATTTTTGAAAGATTATAAATATAATAATTAGAATTTTGAATGCATAAAATTACCAAAAAGACAAAAAAAGGTTGCAACGATTTTTCTGTTTGAGTGACTACTCTTTGTCTTTGGTTTGCTTATTTCGTGTTGCTTCATTCTTTTCCGATTTTATCCTTTACTTTTCTTTCTTTTTCTTTTTTCCTCTTACGTTTCTTCTCATTCCAAGGAGACTTATAACGAGTTCTCTTCACAAATATAATTTTTCAATGCTTTTATCAGCTTTCCTTCTTCTTTCTAATCCTTTCTAGGCCGTACAAATCATCATAGTTGATATGCGTTTGTTTCACTCCAAATTTGTTTTTTTTTACCCAGACCCTTAATATCACCGTTTCACTGTATATGCTAATTTCACTACTTATTTTGTATAGTCTTGTTTTTCCTCATAATTCTCCTTAACACACTGATCTTAGCAATTTCCACCATTTGTTTATTTGTGATAGTGATTCTGTACCGTATGAGAAGATTGGTCACATTTTTATAGACTCCAACTTTTGTATCTGTTCTTAGATATTTGTTTTCCAAATTCATGCTGAGGCATGCTAAGATATTTTAGGTCGCTCGCAAGCTTTCAAGACAATCCCACGCGTTTATCGGCAAATATTCATCAAATAATTCTATAACATTAACAATGATAACATGCATTTGTTCTTCTCTGCACAAACAAATATATATTATTCTCGAGATAACCTAACCGAACCAGCTGAGTGAATAATATTAAACTATTTTGTTTTTTATTTTTCATCATTAAAAGTTATTATTGTTGTACGTTTACAGTCGATGAATATTTACACTAAGAACAAATATTTAACCACAATTCGCAACCACTGGCCATTTTACGTACGAAATGTGATTGCACCAATTTTTTATATTGCACCAGCATTTATATATATAATTTCCGTATATTATAATTAGATGAAAATACAGTTATTTTTAGCAGATCTTGGTATTGCATATTTGGCGTTTATGGCGGCGCAAAGAAAAACAATGATCTGTACTGATATATTTGTTATTTTTGTCGAAGTCCGTGATGTTTGCAGAAAACTTCAAGTTTTGAAAGTTCTCCACTGTTCTATCTGAGCAAGGATAAATGAAACTAGAGGAACGATAGGAACCCTACAATAATATAGAAATGGAACGAGGGGGTTGGTACAATCGAAGCAAAGAGGAAGAGAGTTAAGATCATAGATCTTGTGGGTTTTAAAGATAATTAAAACGTGAACTGAAATTTTCTAGAAAGCAAGGGAACTGCACGATGTGAGCTGATATTAAGGTGACATATAGTAGAATATGGTAGAAATGGTATGTGATATTGTATCTCGTTCGAGTGGTATATTTAAAAACACCATTTTTTTAATTAAAGCGAAAAAAACATGGAACGAGAGCAGATGATTGAGAAGGAACTACCGTTAACTTGATTAGTATTTCTGACAAAACTGGACAAAGAACCAACAGAATATGAGAATGACAGACTAAGAATTACTGTTACATAAGACAGGCGCATAATATAAGGGATACTTTTAAAATATTATACTTTTCCCTAATAGCAATCTTAATCTGAGCAGAATCATTTATTTCGCGAAAATAGTGAAAGTATTTAACTCATTATTCCTTCTGTCTTGTGGATAAACATTGTAAACATTTTGAATTATCATTTTCAATATGTTTCTTTCCAAACACATCACTGCACTTACCTCAAAATTTCGATTTTTTGAAAATGGATAGTTTTCTTGTCCCCAAAATGTTTCTAGGACGTCGAAGTCGATATTTTCAAAACATTGATGTTTGTATAAAAATATCGATGTAATACACATTGATGTTTGATGCCGATGTATTTTCATTTTCGATGTGTTTTTTTGAGGATTAAAAATTCCCATAACCACAATTGCGTAAAAGTTAAATCACGCAATATAACTGTCTTATGTGTTCGAATCACACGAACGTGGTTTGCAGGTACTATCTTCATCGTACGTACTGTCCCTCACCGGAAATGATTCTGATGCCCTGCCATTTACTTTTTTTTGGTACAACGAGAGGTTTTTATAACATTGTCTTCCGTTACATTTTAATTACAAATTAATACACACGGACACTGTCAAATTAAATTTTGATGCGCATGATTCGTTAAAGTCAAGTGACTACTAAACCAACATAAAAATAGATGTTTAAAAACATCAATGGTTTTTAGTCGATGTATTTGAAACATCGTTTGGCCACATCGATGTTTTATTGTCAACGTCGCATCACTATACGTTACAGGCGCTTACACGACTTTACATCTTTGACTGCATCGATGTCGTTGAGAAATGAATCGCATCTCTTCCTTTGCGAGAGGGGAGCATTTAATTGCCGCCCGCCCGTCCCCTCCCACGCCCCCGCCCCGTCCGCCGCCGCCCGCGCCGTGTCGCCGGCACCATCCGCGCGCATTGTTCGCGAGATGAAGGGACCGCCACCAGATTCGGGGGGGGGGGCGCTGGTTACGCGCCAGCCATCTGTCCTTCGGCGCGCATGCTCCCCTGGCGTCCTGACTCGCTCCCCATGTCTATTCCCTTCCGCCTCGCTCATGCCGCCTCAACTGTTCTTTCCCGCTTCCGTCGTCCTCGACACAACTATTCCTAATCTCAATCTCAATTGTTTTTCCCCACTTCATGACCCCGCGTCCATCATCACTGCTGCAAGTGTTCCTCCCCACCTGAGTCATCCTCTCCTTCCCTGCCTCATGCTTTCCGCGCCCCGTTTCACTCATCACCACTCCAACTTGTCTTCCACGCCTCCTTAACCTTGACTCCATCATCTTCGCCACAACCATTCTTCCCCGTCTCACTCACCCCTGACTTAACTGTTCTTCCCCCCGAATCGCTCATCCGCCTTCTTAACCCCGAAGAGCTCATCCCCGCCACATTTATTCCCTTCTCACCTATCTAATTCTCGTCTTGTGTATTTCGCCCCCGCGCGTCCCTCACCTTTTCTCAGCTGTACCTTCCTCATTTTGTCCCTTTCTGTCTCCTTCGGAGAATTCTTCCCTTCCTCCCTTTTCCCGCCCCATTCAATATCTCTTCCCCATGTCCGTTCCCGTCACTCGTACGCTAAATCTGCTGATAACTCTTTCCGCCTCGAAATATGGAATCTTCTTTATCTATAAAACTTTATTATTATTATTATCATTATTATTATTATTATTATTATTATTTTATTGGAAGTATTCTCTACTTCATAGAACTTCCTTTAGTCTTATATTTTTTGTGGATCTAGAACCCAGAAAAAGATTGTCCACTATCTTTAAATAAATTACTCATTATCAGTGAAAAATACATTGAAACAATATTGCAATATACTCATTCTTGGAGAATATGTCATGTCTGATTATTTTGTTTGAAATATTGCGTGCGAGTAAATTTTCTCTTGCTAATCAAGACGGGTTTTTCGAGTCTAAGCAACCTTAAGTTCACCCCACGCCTTCACTTGGATCCTCCTCGTTGTTTCATCCTCCGCGCAGGTCTAAATCTCTCGCAGCTCCTCCTTGCAGCCGATCCCAGGGCTGGCGCAGTGGCGGTGGCAGGACATCCTTGCGAGTTGGCAAATCACGTGGCGTCGCGGGTGTGTGAGCAGGAGGTGGGGCGTTGCGAAGACGTGAGCGGAAGGCTGACAGAGAGATGGAGTCACCGGGAGCAGATTGGGAAGAACAGAGTTGGTTCGGGGACGAGTGTGGGCTGGAGTGAGTCAATGATTGACCGAGATAGAGTGAATGAATGATCGAACCGATAAGCGATTGAGTTTGTGAATACACCAGCGAGTGTGTGAATAAACAGCCAGTAAATAAATAACTGATCCAGTGTGTGCCGTGTGGAAGACAGAGAAAGTGTATGAGTGAGTACATATATAAACAAGCGAGAGAGTGAATAGACGAGCATGCGAATGAGTGAACTAACGAGAGGGAGGTGAGTGAGAGGAAAGACGGGCACAAAGCGGGGTCAATGTAAAATCGGAATGATGACGGAAGTGGTGAAGGAGAGGATGCAGATAGAGTGTAGCAAGGTTTTAATGAAATGTGGGAATAAGCGAGTTTAAGGTTTTTGGCCTTGCATGTAGAGAGAGAAGTGGGGAGCGGGGCTATTGTGGAAAGTGAGAGAGAAAGTGGCTGCGTCGTCGGCTGTGGCGATGGCTACAATGAGGTTTGCTGCTGACAGGGAGACAGAGGAGCCACTAGTAGGAGATTGGGAAGTGCACAGTTGGTTTGGGGACGAGTCTCTGCTGGAGTGAGGTTTGGCCTAGGCAGAGTGGAAGTAAAATGACAGAACCATTAAACGAATTAGTATGTGATTGTTAGACGAACAAGACATAGACGAGCGAGAAAGTGTTAATAAACAAACGGGAAAGTGTGTGAATAGACTATCGAGTGAGAGAATGGACGAGCGAAAAATTAATGAACGAGTGAGTGGGTGAGTGAATGAAAGATGAACAAGCGAGCAAGGGATTGAATCAGCGATTGGTGGGGTGGCTGGGGACCGGCCCAATAAGGTGGCCAGTGTAGATTGAAGAGGGGAAATACGTTGAAGATGGGAGTGGTGGGGAAGAGGTTGCACAAACGAGTTCGTGAAGCGATAGTTAGGCGGAGGGCAAGGTTCAGCGTTTTTTGGCCTTGCATGCAAGGAGAACAGCGGGGTTGTGGGTCTTGTGCAGTGCGAAGGAGAAGGTGACTGCGACGCCGGCGGAGGCGTTGGCTACGAAGAGGTTTGCGGTGGGATTGGCGGCAGGCGAGGAGACGAGGTGCGGGGCCGGCGGTGGGAGCGGCGGAGATGATAAAGGGCAGTGGCAGGGCGCGCTGGTGCTGAGGACGAAGGATGCAGAGGGGCGGGCGGGGCCGAGCGTTGCGGGTCGACGGCGGAGCGTGCGAGATGGATGGCGTTCTTGTTTGGAATTTCAATATTTTCCCGGCGCTCTGCCGGTGCTCTTCGGACAAGCGGTTCTGATTTAGAGCCCGCGAGGTAGTTGGGGGGTGGGTTCGGGGAGCGTCTTATTCACTGCGGCCTGACGTGAGATTCTTGGCCTCGTTGGAGATTGCGGCAAATAAGTAGTAAAAATGCACAATTACTGGCATTCTGGTCGTGTTTGTGCTGCTCATGTGATTTAAGATAAAGGATTGTCATAAATGTCGGTGTTTGCTCTACAGTTGACTATGTTTCTGTGTTGTTGTTTTTTTTTTGGCTCTGCAGTGGATATTTTTTAAAGAAAACTTCTAAATGTGTACTTGTTTAGTTAAAATTATAAAATATTTCAACTAAATTCGTGGTAGTAAGTAATATTTATTTAACTGTTATTGACTGCACTCTGAAATTGACTAACACAATTCAGGCAAGGAATATTTTTTTCTCCTCTAGACTCTCTGAGTTTAATTAGAAATGAAAGCAACGATTACTAGAACGACCTTACGTACGAACTCGTACACTTCTTTTTCCAATTGTTTGATTTTTTATATACAGATTGGTTATTTTTTTATGTAGAATACTGTAAGCGGCATTGGCTTTAAAAGCCTGGCTAGCTCAAAATTTATTTCTCTTTCTGAGTATTTCTTAGTTTAATTTCGGTTTTTAATGTAATTTCAACGTTTCTGAAATCGTTTTACGAATTACATTTCCTCTAAAAAATGTCTGAATCAAACTCGTCGTCAGATACTACGTACGTTCATTGCTTACTTGCTGTTATTTTAGTCCTGCATTTAAACAAATATCAAGTCAATTACCCGTATGTTACGGGGATGTCAAGAAAAATCAATATCGATTTAACCTTTGCCCTATCGTAAAATTTCTTTACAACATTTGCAATCACCTAAATGAACACCCACTAGGGGAAATCCTATTGTTGGCGGAAGCGAATTGCGATTGGCTGATCTCAATTGTGGTGAGCTTACTAAATAACCAATCGATATGGCGGCTCTTCCATTAAGGGCTTACGCAGGGGTTTGCATGATTATTGCAGCTTGGACCTAATAGCGTTGTCTGGCGGCCCCAGCGCCTCCGACGACGAGTAAACTTTGGCATACATCATTGACAGCGGGCGCGTGGCGGGGCGGGGCGGGGCGGGGCGGCCTCGGAGAGCGGTGGAGGCATACATCATTGACAGCGGGGCGCGTGGCGTGCGTGGCTGCGTGGGTTGCGCGGCGTGGTGGCGTGCGTGGCATCTGCGTGCGGGCGGTGGCGGGCGTGCGTGGCTGCGTGGCGGCGTTGGCGTGGGCGGGCGTGGCGGGCGGGGCGTGCGCGGGCTGCGGGCCGGGGGCTGTGGCGGGGCGGGGCGGGGTGGCGGCCGGGGCGGAGGCGGCGGTGCGGGTGCGGTATCGGAGAGCCTGTGAGGGCCGGCTGAAGGTGGTGGGGTGGTGGCGGCGGGGGCGGCGGGTAGCGGGAGTTGTGGCGCGTGGGTGGTCAAGGAGTGAGGTGCTGCAGGGCGGGGCGGGCGGGGCGGGGCGGGGCGGCCTCCGTGAGAGTCGGTGGAGGGCGCGGAGGTGTGGCGTGGGTGGCGGCGGGCGCGCGGCGGGGTAGCGGGAGTGGTGGCGCGCGCGGGATGTCACGTGATGCGAGGTGGCGTGCAGGGGTGGCGGGGGCGGCGGCGAAGGGCGTGAATGTGAGATGTTGCGTGGCGGGCGGCAGGCGGGCGTATGCGCGGATATGTAATAATTACCGGGAACGCGCTGGGACGGATGCCTAAGCCCCGGGTGCCGCATTAATCTTGCGACGCGTGCGGTATCACTGGTTTGGCAGGGGGTGCGGGGGTGGGA